TGGATCTATTTTTGTGACCGTGACCGTACATCAAAGACTATTTATATTACTTCCACTTCTTCAATCTCATTCTTATCAACTCCAACCTAATATCCCCATCTCTTCTGGTTTTCAACTTTGCCAAGGACTTCTTCATTTAGGTTGACATTCAGAGGTTCTTAATTCTTTCTCTTCTATACTCTTGTGTCAGCGTGTATGATTCTAATTATCTTTTATCTTTCTCAAGTCTTTTAACCTAGTCATCAACAGTTTTTCATTTCTCATCTTTATTTCTCATCATCCTTGAACCTGTTTCCTGTTTTATCTAGGTAATATCTTATTCTTATTATTTCTCTATTTTATTTATTTTCTCTTCATTTTTCTTTTACTGAAATGAATGTTTTATCTAGCCAAAACTTTTCAATAACCTTTGACTGGTTTGGGAGTCTAAAAAATATATTAAAAAACAAAACCCCTGGGCAGTTTCCTCCAAAACCCACTTGGTTTTGTGGGTCAATGAACCAAAAGACCCCCATGGCAGCGGCCAGGAGGATTCCTCCCAGCCTCTGAGAGTACTAGGTGTGCACTCAGCAGCTGAGAGAGAGAAACCCTCTCAGCTGTTGAGAGTGTCCACCTTGATGGCAGAGTTGGTTTCTCTTGGCCATTGAGAGTGCACACTCTGAACTTCTGAGAGGGTTCCTCTTAAAGTAAATGTACACCCCGGCTGTCAAAAGTGTACACCTTGATGGCCAAGAGGAATGCTCATGGCCATTGAGGGTATACACTCTTGAGGATTTCTCTCCCTTAGCTGCTGAGTGCACACCTTGATGGTCAAGAGTGTACCCCTTGACAGCGGAGGTGGTTTCCCTTGGCCATTGAGAGTGTATACCCTCAGCGGCCAAGAAGATTCCTCTTGGCCATCAAGGTGTACACTCTGAACGGCTGGGGTGTACATGTACTCTCAGTGGCCAGGAGGAATCCTCCTGGCTGCTTCCATGGCAGTCTTTTGGCTTATTGACCCTCAAACCCTGGTCAGTTCTGGAGGATCAACTCCCAACCTGACTGGGTTTTTTTATATATTTTTTAGAGAGTCAACCCCAAACCAGTCAAACATTTTGCAGGTTTGACTCCTAGTGGTTGGGGAATATGTTGCTTGGGAGGCAACTCTCCAGCTGCCCTTGTAGGGGTCTTTTGGTTTATTGACCCCCAAACCCTGCTTAGTTTTGGAGGATCAACTCCCAAACTGACTGGGGTTTATATATATATATATTTATTCGGAAGTCAGCTGCCAAACCAGTCAAAGGTTTTGAGGGTTTCACTCCCAAACATTGTGGAATACGGGTCTTGGGAGGCAACTCTGCAATTTTTGGGAGTCAATTAAACAAGCCCCATTTTCAAAACTTGTTTTGTATCATGCCAGAATCAAAGCCATCACTACCACCGGAGGCTAAACAAGCCTACAATATACCAGGAAAAAATATTTCCCACCAGATGACAGGTGAAGAGCTTTGACTGTCTGATATTAAGAATGTTAGTTTGGACCTGGGTACCAGGTGGGTTTTTTACCCAAAAAAAGGCACCTAGTTCCCCACCCTACACTGCCTGGCGTGTAACAGAAATACTTTGTGGGTCTTTCAGGTGCCACCAAATGGGGGATGGGTGCTAGTTGGGATTTTGAGATCATCTTTGGTATTGCTGGCTGGAGACATCATAACACAAACAATGGGCCTCTATGCTACACTGTGATTTTTGCCCAAAAAGCTGTTAGTGTAGCAGCACTTTTTGTGCAGGAATCACATGGTATCAGCACAATGTTAGCAGTTTTTTGCTGCAGCTGCACCATGCTGCACTATGGGTTGTTAATAGCCACTGCAGGGCCAAAATGAAGCTAATCAGCACATCAGTGAAGTGTAGCAGGTATATTGTGGGGGCCTGTGTGTGTAGTGTTAGCTTGGATGTGGCAGAATTATGCTATGCTATGCTAAATTTGAGTGGAATGCTGCTACCTTACACCACACTAAAACTATGGTTAGCATAACTGGCCCAACTTTGATACAACTACATTATATGAGCATGCTCCTGGATAATCAGGTGATGAGGGGGTATGTTTCATTGGTATTAAAATTGAGGGGGTCTGCCCACAGAATTTACTGACAGAACAATTTATCTATTGGGGTGTGGCAAGTCAGAAATACAAAAAAGATGGTTATTTGCTTCAATTTAGCAGTGATTTGTATGTGAATAACTTATATAGCAAGGTGGGATATTTGTACACATTCAGGTGGAAATTGATTCATTTGGGGGGGTTGAAAAGTGCAAGCCAACCCCCATTGCGCACGCCAAACTGCACACCAGGCGCAGATTGGCGTGCGCGCCTGCACGCAGGCAAGCCAATTTCCTGCAGGTTGGCGTGCCTGCCTGCACGCCCAATTTTAGGTCCTAAACCCATAATTATATGCGTTTAGGACCTGGGCTGTCCCATAGGACCCAGGCATGGGTCCTATGGGACAGCCACTTTCTTTCTTTTTTTTCCCCCTCAGCGAGGTCACACCGCCGAGGGGAACCCCTCCCGGCAAGCCGGTGTACAGTCCAGAGGAAGAGTTTCCTTCTGCTGGACAAGGTACATGTACCTCATCCATCGGAAGGAAACCCTTCCGATTGGATGAGGTACATGTACCTCATCCATCGGAAGGACCAGCTTTACAGACCCAAGGTACTGCGGCACACACCGCAGGTCCCAAGTTGACCATTGTTGGGTTGCTATCTGCTCCCCGCCCTCCCCCGGATATTCCTCCAGACTTCTTTCATAGCTATGGACCGGCTATCCCTCCTACAGAGAATGCTCTCAGCCCAATCAACTGTTCTCGCATCTTCAACTCAAATTCAACTGGCAACTGTTCAAGGTGGAGCGGCGGCAATTCAATATCAACTTCAACAAGAACAAGAAAAAGAGGAGGCAGAAAGGCAACAAAAGCACGGTGTATCTAGAAAAGGACGTTCTGCAAACATTGATCGTGATTTTGAGGCTGGATACAAACAATTAACTAAGGATTAATTTTCTGAAACACCACAGGCACGATACAACGACTACCAATTCCGGCGCCGTCTCCGTATGCATCGAAGCCTTTTTCTGAGGATAGTGAACAATGTCACGGAGCATGATAATTACTTTGTTCGGAAGTGTAATGCCGTTGGGAAACCTGGATTGTATCCCATTCAAAAGATTACATCTGCACTTTGAATTCTAGCCTATGGCGGGGCCGGTGAGGCAAACAACGAGTACCTACGTATTGCCGAATCGACTTCGCTCAAGAGCCTCAATCATTTCACTGATGCAATTATTAACTTGTATGGCGGTAAATATCTGAGATCACCAAACATGGCCGACACAAGGCGCTTGTTATCCAACTCCAAAGATAGAGGCTTTCCTGGCATGCTCGGCTCCCTGGATTGCATGCATTGGGAGTGGAAGAACTGCTTAACTGGTTGGAAGGGGCAGTATCAGGGTAAAGAAAAGGTATTTGACA